TATCGCTAGAGGCGTCAGACGGAAGCAAACCGGGAGACGGGCAGCAGCGAATTTCTGATAATAACTAAAAAAAAACACGGTTGCCGACCCGCCCGCTAATTGTGGTAAATATGACAAACTTTTGGTCACAGAACCACGCTTCGTATTACGGTTGTAGCATGAATGGGTTAGCTCGACCGGGTAAGGATCACGCTTTACAGAATACCAGCGTAAAATAATGGCTCGTTTGTCACCTTTTTTCTATACCCCCCCTCCCCCCCATATTAAGCAATTTAAGGGGGAAACTTATTTTCAGGAGTGGAGTTTTGATAGGCTGTAACGGATACGGTTACTTGATTATTTATTGTTACGCTTATTGATTGTATCTGTACTCGTACGTCGCGTCGTGGGAGTCGAGCTTAATATTCTACGTGTTAATGTTGCATGCACACTGTAGAGGGCTGTAGCGAACAATGCCGACTGTTGTGTAAGATCAGAGCTATTCAGTTACATGCGTTGTGAATTATATGATTTCCCACCATTGACACCATATTAAACATTTGTCTTTGTTTTAATTTAAACAAAAAAAGAACCAGACGATTGTAAGAAGGTTTTATTAAGGTTTTATTATATCTACTAGGTGACAGGGCTTCTTTTTTGCCTAGGGATTGGTCTGGATGAGTTTCACTTTCATATATTTTCCTATTTCTGCCTGTAAGCAGTGTTAAATATAATCCAGTAGAAGGGAAGGTAGCCAGTATATTTAGAGATCGGTTAGTTCATCTTAGTCCTCATGGTGACAGCCGCCAAATAGTAGTGCTTGTATCACTGTATTATTTCAGTATGAAGGCGATAGAGAGTCTGTGTAATTACAGACCGTGTAATCCATCTTAATCCTCATGGTGACAGCCGCTAAATAGCAGTGCTTGCACTGCTGTAGTGTCTGGTGTGAAGGGTACAATCAGCCAGTATAGTAACAGGCCGTGAGGTAATTCTAGTTCTATAATTTTAGTGCCCTGGGGTGACAACGCATCAGTAGCTTTCCTTTTTTGAAGTTGACTGCAGGTGTCCATGGACTGCACCATCAGGAGCCGCTTACCATCAGGTTAACTCTAAGTTCGTTTGTCACTTCAGTTTTATATAAATATATTATAATGTAACGTAAAATAAAAGTTGTCGAGGATAAATTAATAAAGCTTCAGTTTTCTTATTTAATAATTGATTGATGAATATTATTTATTACTAGCTGACCCGGCGAACTTCGTACCGCCCAATAGTCGATTCTTTAATTATTTTTTTTAATACTTATTCTGCTATTCAGGACACCGGGTCAGCTACTAAGATAAAAAAGAAAAAAGAAAGTTGATAAGTCAACAATTACATTATGTCAAATAATAAAAATTATAAAACACTATTGACAAATATTGACATTAATATTTATACGATACTAACGTCACTAAATTGTGTTGCCTTCCCGGAAACCCTCCACTAACACAGTTCAAATTGACTTTTAAGTATTATTACGAATCTTTTGTATAAGAATATAGAAAAGTGTTGTTTTTAGACTTTGTCGGCAATTTTTTAATTTTTTCTCTCAGTAAGAACCATCTTCGTACTTTAAGGAATATTATAAAAAAAGAATTAGCGAAATCGGTTCAGCTGCTCTCGAGATTTCCGCTTAGCAACATATTCAGCGATTCATTTTTATATTATAGATAATTGCTAATTGAAGACTTCTCTACAATGACATTCAACTCAAACCAATCAAAACCGGATGTATGGTATAAAAATTGAATGAATATTGCGTGTCGAATGTGTTGATGTTATTACCACATTATACTAACAATTCATTACGGATGGTTTCTGCCAGTCATGCGGCGCGCAGGACCAATCTAATCGATATATCTTATTCTGCTCACTGTTATACAGATAAAAAAATAGAAAGTGGAACATCGGTGATTAAGAAAAATGTAGTCTATTAGTGTAATTCACATCAATTTATACAGATGTAATGAAAGAATATTATATTTTAGTCTTTGTATTTGTGAATGTATGTATGATGCCTTAATTTGAATATGCATTAAATGTTTTATAAAGTTGTAGTCATGTTTATACATATTCGGGTGTGGCTTTGTTTGTAAAGCCTTTCAACATTGGAATCAATTAATTTCCTTTGCATTTTTAAACAGTACGATCAATTGAATATAAGTACGGATTTTTACAGATTTTATCGCGTGATTTTACCTTTTTTTAAATTTAAAATAAATATAATACGTAAAAATATATTTTTAATTCAATGTGTACATAATGTTAGCGTAAATATAAGAAATCATTAATTATAATAAATTTTCTTCTTCATTCTGTGAGTGCGGGTACTTTCCGAGTCGAGTTGACCTATTCGTGCTACGACTATAATATAGATGTAGCATGGCTTTACCACATTACGTCCTGTTTAAGTGTCACGTTTCCTCTGGGTACAGGTTTCCTCTAATTTCTGAGAGGGTTTTAAGGCAAGGAAATGTCCGCCGCGCTGCCCCAATGCGTGTTGGCGAATTTGACATGTCGTCTAAATATTTTTTTCTTATTTCTCAAACATGCAGATTTTCTCAAGATGTTTTCCTTCACCGCCGAGCACGTGGTAAATTAGCACTTAAAATTGGCATTAACAATTACATTAGTGCCGCCGGGGATCGAACCAAGGATGCTCGTGTACTATGAAATTTACTACTGAGCTACCACGGTTCTATATAAAGTGTCACGTGTCTAAGATATTTTACATGGAGTTTACGCAAATATTTCTGACGTTAACAATGTTAAATTAGAAGCCTTTCACGCGGCACTTTCACACGGAAGACGGCGCCGGGATACCGAACGGAGTCAAGATTGATTATTCAATTGAGATCACGATTGAAAGATTACCGCCGGTCACCGTCCCACCGAATTACCTGACACGGTCCCCTTATTGGAGGACATTTGTTCTCGTCAAATATATGGGACATCGGCCGGCGTCGAGTGGGGTCACCGATCGGTCTTGTTCGGCGCCATTAACACCAATTGGAAAGTGATGGAACGAGGTTTTGAGCGTAACTGTCAATTATTGGATATTGGAGCATTTGTACTTTCTAAAGCGTCATTAAATTATTGTTTGTGTTTCGGTTGTTGACCGCGTGCTCCTTTCGTTAAGCTCGCTCTAATTAAGATAAGCTTTAAGCGCTTGGGATGTCTGTTCTGATTATTGGATGTTCTGATTTTTACTTATTACTGTCAGAAATGCTGTATAATGAATGATATGTGTAACATAATATGCTCTATGTCTGTTCGTAGAGTTTCATTGCAATCAGTTCAGCCATTCCGAAGATTACCTCGAACAGACAGACAGACAGACAAAATGCTTAAAATTGGTTATTTATATCTTAATATGACCCATGAGATTAATAGAAGCCAGTTGTTTTAATATTACAGACAGACACTCAACCTTGTCTGAATTATGGATATAGTTTCGATGTAAACTTCCAAATTAGCATTGTATTAAATAATATTATACAATGCATTATTTATCAAGATTAAAAACGCGATCCTTATTGCATCGAGCAAGTCTAGTTACTTAACCGCTATGAATAGTCATGTTCTCCATTACAGGGCACAATAAATTAAAAAAAAAAACAAGCGCAAAGAATCGAGTTGCATCAGGTCCAGCCTGGTCTAGGCGATGGGCAGCGGGATGAGGGTCAACGTCCTGAAGCTATGCGATGCGCCTGCGCATTGTGTATTCTTTTTGGCCTTGTATATTGCGTTTGAGGGTAGACGGATGCGTAATAAGATTAACGCACAATATCTTTAATGCAGATATTCTGTTTAAATTTGTTGCATAAATGTATGCGTTTTGAATTTATTTTGGTATTTAAACGGATTTTTCGACATTCAAACTACTTAAAAATGGCGGAGGTTAGAAGTCGCCTGTTTTCTTTATTAGTGCTCCACACTCAAAATACGTAACACGCACGCGATAGTTATTTTAATTCACCGATATTTTGCTCAGACATTCCATTTTTTTTTAAATTGAAGTGACAAATGATTTAATTGAAATGACAAAATTATGGTCCATCTGATGGCAAGTGATTACTGCAACCTATAGACACTTGCAACCAAAGACATTTATATATTTTAAAACTCTTTGCTTGCAACAAACTTCACATAAACAAGGCTATAAATGCGTGTTACCTATGAGGACTAAGATGCCTCATGTTCTGCAGTTATACTAGCTCTGCACCTAACTGCAAACAGCGTAGCTCTGATTACGTAGTAACTATTAGTTAATCTGTGCCTCCGAGGACAAAGATGGAATGTAGGCTCAGAAGGGCTAGAACCCAGAGCCGTAAAGCCAGTTTAAAAAAGATTGATTGTCTCACTGCCTGTGACTATACTGGCTCCCTATATAGAATATAACACAGCAGAGCAAGCACTTATACAGTTGCTGGGCGGCACGAATAAGTAAGAGGATGGCACGATGGACTCCGAGGCAGAAAAGGAAGTAACAACCTAATAAATATTTGTGAAGGTTTTTAAAAGTCTATTTTAAAAATTTTGTCAATCTTCACTATTTTGAAATGTCTTTTTTGAATAAAGGTGACAAACGAGCACATAGTCCACCTGGTGGTAAGTGGTTGCTGTGGCCCATAGACATCTACATCTATCTTCGTTTGCAAATTAAAATGCGTTGTCAGCTGTGAGGACTAAGATAGAATGCCTCTTTTCCATTAAATAGGGTCTCCGGTTGTCAACACTCACCATACGAAACACAGCAGCATTTAAGCTGCTATTTTACGCTGGTATTCTGTGAGAGCGTGGTACTTCCCCGGTCGAGCCGACCCATTCGTGCTAGAACTATACTAGCTGCAGCATGGCTCTATCGCGTATAAACCACGTACCTATGTTTTATCCAGATTTTTCATAATGTTGAAAAATTTTATGCTATAAATTCTTATAGCTCTATTTTTTAAATGGCATTTACTTTGTTACAGGTGTGAAGGCGACATGGCGTCGCCTAGGTTTATTCTTTTGCTGATCGCTGCTCTCAGCATAATGACTGGTTGTAAGGCAGGTGAGTCAGCGACCATTTTAAATTTATCTAGTATATTATTTTACTGATATCTTTCGATTTTAATCGGTTTTCGAAAAAAAAAACGATTTTAATAAAGGAATATGAAAAGGCTGTACATGTTCTTGCCTTTGTCTTTTGAGTTTTTAAATAGCTTTAATGATAATAGTATTACATAAATCTATTTAAAAACAAGTTTTTATAGGCCTTGCTAGGGCCAGCATCTGGGTCCATCATTAGAGCTGCGCCACGCTACCATGGTACTATTGCTTTATCATCGAAGCTAAATAAGTATGCCAAATTTCACATCAATCGGATGTTAGTAAGTGCTTGGAAAGTTGATAACCAATTTTACACCTGACAAACATACCAAGGAAGCAAGTTAAATAAAAGCTTGTAAAAATCGAAAGATTAAAACAAAAGTGCGATAAAACAACAGTTAACTTACATTCTGGCTCGAAGTCAGGCTTTTGTAACGTGTTCTCTTATCTATATAGTCATGTTCATTTTAGTTTTGCAAAAAATATCTTAAACTGCTTAATTTAAACATCACCTTCATTAACAAGGCAATTTAGTAACTTAAGACGTAATGTTTACTACACACTGATGATTCATAACTGAATAAATCTCATATTTATTAACATGAATCATCTTATTTATACGAAATATTGGTCATAAACCCTCATAAAATGAAAAATGAAATAGATAATATTATGTAATTATTTAGTTTAGCGATCATTTACTTCTTTATAAGACTATTAATATTTAGGTCAATAGAGGTGTATTTATAAATAGTTAAGAATGTGTAGTGTAATATAAAGAACCGGAAATCCTTTTCACTTGGAAAGAGGCATTGCATCTTAGCCTTCAGGGGTGACAACGAATCTGCATTTTGATTCTTAATCGAGGATAAATGTGTCTGTGGTTCACGCCATCCACTTACCATCAGGTGGACTGTATGATCGTTTGTCACCATCATTCAATAAAACAACACCTCCCCAGACAGACCTCTACCCAGAAACCGAGTTCCACCACCTGGTTGAAAATGTCATTACACTATACAATTTTTCGACACTAAAATTTCAGAGCTTGTCAGTACCCGCAACATTGATAGACGAACGTATTAGATAGAATACAACTTAAATTGTGTAAAGTCACAACAGTGCTGGCAAGTAGTGTTGAGATTGCCATCAATATTACGTGAGCGAACGCATAATCTGCATTTAAATCAACCATTTTGTATTCCGACGTGCGTGTTCTTGTAAATATTTGGAATAGCAACGATATGCGCAGCAGAGCGACACCTTGCGGTTTATTAGATGTTTTACTAGTTTTTTTTTAATTCGTAGTGTATTAATATGTAATCCTATACCTAAATCCCAATCCTAAAGCCGTGGTACCTCAGAGTATGAGTTTTTTTGCACTTGTGATCTACTTCTTAGAGTCTACCAATCTAGTTATGAAGTGGTCAGCTGGCCTCATTAACGCCTAGACCTGTTTCAACAATTGAATTCGTAATATCAATTTTAAGTGCTGATTTACCGGTGAAAGAAAACCAAAACATACCTTTCACTCATCTTTATATATGTTATGGACCAAGTGATTAATAGGGCATTATTCATAATGTCCAGCCAGTTTGTAAATGTCAAATGTGAGTAGACAATATGTGAAAATAATAAATAAATCACCCGTGCGAAATCGTGTGGGTCGATAATATGTATCTGAAAAGAGCTCTCACCCGTTCCTAATATAGGTTTTCGAAGCCGGGAATCGTACATCACACTGTATAAATGACGAATTTCATAACATGTTCTCGAAATACTCCCTTTAATAATTTCATTGCAGAGCACGCGCTACATCAGTATTTAAAATTGCAAATCACAATAGTAAGTGGATGTTGTGACCCATAGACATCCAGGTCTATCCTCAATTAAAAATCAAAATGCAGATGCGTTGCCGTCCTTAAGGACTAAGATGGAGTACCTTATTTCAATTAAAAAGGGTTCCCTTTTTTATAGGATAGGGTGACAATCAAGCACACAGTCAACCTGATGGTAAGTGGATACTGTGGCCCATAGACATCTACATTTATTCTCGTTTGCGAATCAAAATGCAGATGCGTTGTCACCCGTGAGGACTGAGGACGAAGATGGAATGCCTCTTTTCCAGTAAAAAGGGTCTCCGGTTCTCTACACTCACCATACGAAACACAGCAGTGTTAAGCTGGTATTTTACGCTGGTATTCTGTGAGAGCGTGGTCCATCCCCGGTCGAGACGAGCCATTCGTGCTACAACTATACTACTAATATAGCTGCAGCATGGCTCTACTACGTTTAAAACGTTCTACACTCCACTACACTCACCATATGAAACACAGCAACAGCTAACTTTAATAACAGCTGCTATTTTAAGCTGGTATTCTGTGAGAGCGTGGTCCTTACTCGGTCGAGCCCGCACCATGGCTCTACCAAATATTATATACACTGACATTTCCGAGTTTTTAGGCTCCGAATTCATTATATGCGTTTATAAACAATCTGTAGATATAGCGACTTCCGCGAAGAACTTCCAATTTATATACCTACTGCTTCCGCAAGGTCAAGGTCTACTGGTCTCGAACTTTCGTCCGGTTCTCGCACGTGTACAAAATGAATCATAATTTGATTTTTTATCTTAATTTACTATAAAAATTAAAATAAATACAAACGACAAACACGTAGATTCATTCGACGTCTAAAGACATAGATTCGTTGTCAGTTGCGTCAGGACTAAGAGAAAATGCCTCTCTGAACCGATAAAAAAACTGCTCCAGTGGAATATACAAAGGCGCTCGCGACTATTCAGCGACGCTGGCGAGACGGTAAAAGAGGTTTGACAGCAAACCGCAATATGGTGATTGCCCCGGACGGTTTGAAGCAATCATTGCATTGAAACAAAAACAAGAATAGTTATAAACGGGCCGATTATTTTCATCGTTGCTTAGGGTGAATTCGACCAAATACTCAATACTCAATAACTTTATTGCATTCCATAGGTTACAAAAGGTGTTACATAGTTTTATGGTATCTCCATGGGCCCTGATGGGTACAGCAATATTATGAAGGAGGAACATTTATTATTATAATTATTGCTATTTTTAAATAATTATTTAATATTAACATTTATTCTATTATTTAAACATACACACAATAAATTTTAAATACGGTTATTTTAATTGTTATAATTTATTAATGAATTGATTTTGAAATTTGAGGTATTATTATAATTGGTGTAATTAGCACAGTTGAATTTTTATTAAATTATTTGAATCATTTACATTTTATTTGAATTTTTTATTGTAATTTATTTAGTAGGATGGCATTTCATTATTACCTAACATATTTTTAAATACCATGTTATACTAGAGTAATACCCTCACGTAATCTACTCTTTGGTCTTACTCCAGATAACTTTGTCTGCATTCCGTCATAAACGTAGATTAGCCAATCCAATACTAAGTATTGTTATTCTAGAGTTGGTGTATGAATGATGAATGAACGTGTAAGCCAATTAAAATTGAAATACAATATGTTTATATAGCGCAACGCAAAATTTTATGTCAACATAATTTGCCGGATTATAAGTGTCAACTGTCACTGAACATTATTATTCAAACGAGTTGTCACTTGAGTAGGGTTATCTTTTCAAGCTGTGTTGCATGTTGCGGTAATTTTAAATAAATAAAATGTCAAAAGGAAGAAGGAAACGCGTAGTGCAAAAATACAAGAAATTATAAACGCACAACTGTAAAATATCTTACTTTTTCAACAAAGCATGTGAGTACAGCTGTCATAATTTAAAATTAAAAATTTTGTATTATAACAGCTTCAATATAAATTATTAACAATAACTCAAAAACTATTGCTATGACCTAGATCAAATTCATATGGAACCACACGTGAAGTACCAGCTTTCAAATAAAAAAAGAATGTAAAAAGTTCTGAGGTAGGTAACACACATAAAAACATACAGTCGAATTGAGTACCCTCTATTTTTGAAGTCGGCAGAAAATGTGGTGGCCGTCATTAATATTATCTGGGATAACTTGGTAACGTAATCTGGTTTACTTTTTATAATTTTAGCAGTACTGCAATTTACTCTTAAAAAGTGCTCTAAATCTAGATCTAGAGTAATTAGTGAATTTAATCGCAGGCTAAGACTTCTCGTGTTCGAATCCCGGGTCGGGCCGTTGTACGTTTTGGGTTTTCTGGCAAGAAATTTTCAGTAGCCGCCCGGAGTCAGGAAGGCGGTGGTGTTTTACACCCTTACCTCGGAAAACACGTTATGCCGTTGGTCTAGCGCCTGATCTCTCTCCGGTCGTGTCGGATCTCATTGGCATATGAAAGCGAGGAAATAAAGAGTGCACCTGTGTTTGGTCCTGCGATGGCTAGACTATATTGAAAAGTTACATTACATTCATATTCACACATACATAACATTTCATTGTAATGCGAGCATTCCATCTTAGTTCTAAGGGGTGACAACGCATTTGTAGCTCTCTTTTTTTGAAATTTTCTGCAGGTGGATTGCAAGTTTTGTTAAAAAAAAATACGCACTGCTATTTAATAACTAAAAAAACAAGATTTTCCGTTTGTCACCCACGCCGAACGCTGTCTCGCATCTCTTTCTACGTTAGAGGATAAAATGAATGCGAACCTAGATATTATGCATTAGCACCCAAGCGATAAGACGTTATGCTTGTTGCGGCTTGGCACATATTCGATCGCAACACTCGGCCGTAGATAGCGAGATGTGCGCGGTCATTACCGATCGCGCTGAGGTATGTAGCTGTTAGCCAAGACTTTATTTGCCTAGTTTTTAGGTTTGCAAGGCCAGTATAGTAGTTATATAAAATTAAACTTTAATGATTTTGTATGGAATTAATAGTTTTCTACAAGACATTGTAATTATTATTAAAAAAATTCATAGAGATATTATGAAATTTTGTGAATTTTTTGTAAATA